AGTGTCCTTTCATAATCAGCCCTCTCCACCACACACTCAGCAAATTCCTCAACCATATGTAGAAGTCAGCAAACTACACTGAATTTATTCTTGCTTTTATGTACCCATTTTCCTTAACTTAAGTTTAACTTAACCATGTTGTAGTCACCAGTCAGTCACTACACAAGACGGAATATTAGATACTTATTCATCTCAGTACAATACCCTTCATATGGCCCTACAGTAACTCACAGCAAGTAACAGCCCCCTTCAAATCAGAAGAAGGAAACAATGAGTTCACAATCAGGCATGAAGAATGAATCTGCCATTCCCTCTCATTTCAATTTGTGCATCAAAGATTTAGGATGGCTGGTGGCCTCACTGACCTGCAAGTCATCACACTGGCAAAAGGCCTTCCTGTAAGGATAGTAAGGGACCGTTTGTTACTTATGAGGGAGGAGGGGGTGATGCAAAAAATGTGGTGGCATGTCAAATAATTTTTAAGCACTGAAGAGTTACTTGTGTTTTTATCTTGGCTTGGGGAAGGGGCATACACATTTGCATTTTGCATTTTGCATTTCTTTTACCGCAGATTTTCATTCAAAATTTGGCCAAAAATAAACAACTTGCAGAAACAAACCAGCATGCATGACAAGGGTTGCAACAGTATGAGATTTTCACAATATGATAACCATCTTAGAAAATATCACACTATCATGGTATTACAGAACTATTGTTTTTATCCGTTACAATGACCCTTAAAGAAATGAAAAATGGCTTCTTTTTTTAGCAAACCCTTTACTACTATAGTTTAAAGTTGAAACATTTTTTATTAATATAAGTATGTCTAAAGAGTCTCCCTTTTATAAGTAACTTAAGATTCTCTGTTCAGTTTCACTTTTTTGCAATACCTTAGAAGAGCAATGTAAACAGTATGATGTGTTTATGGTATAAAAAGAGCAACGTAAACAGTATGATACTGTTTACGTTGCTCTTTTTATACCACAGTACACCTTGAAACAGGTATATCACTGCAACTCTGTGCACAATATGAGTGAAAACCTGAGGCAGTATCAACTCCAGGATTTCGTCTTTAGCTGCAAACTTTTAACCCTCAATCATCAAAGGGTATTATAAAAAAATAAAAAATCTATAGCAAATTTATGGTGTAGAAAGGGTCACACATTTTACACCTCAAAAAGGCTCAAGGAAAAATATTTGTAGCTTCTAGGAGGGTCAAAATAAATAATAATAAAAAATAATAATTACAAAAGGAAGTCACATCCCATTCACCCCCCTCCTCTGATAAGTAAAAAACGGTCCCTAATCATGGCTTATCATCAGTACAGTGCAGCCTACCAGTGCAGCATCTGACATCCACATCCTCGTATTTTAATTACAGTACAATATTACAGAAGTGCGTTGAGGCAAAAATCTTCGGGTTATTTGTGTGTGTGTGTGTGTGTGTGTGTGTGTGTGTGTGTGTGTGTGTGTGGCAATTTATAGCGCTCTTCATTATCAAACACAACGCCTAACATTTTGAGAATATGTAACATCAGAACTGCTGTAAAATAATTTTGATAACCAACATCTTTATCTCCATCCAGAGACCACAGACAAACAATGGCAACCATTCTTATAAGTTACACGTCATGGAGGCTGCTGCCGATACGGGATGTAGCTAATGTAGTGCCGAATACAAGCGTAATTTAAGAAAAAAATGTTATATCATACTGTCAATTCAATTACTATTTACTTTTGGATATAACGCCGTCACAACCCGGTGTTATTAACAGCAATGACAGGCAGATTTTTAGTGTTACCTATTGCTGATCTTCCGCACAAGAAATAAAGTCACACAAACTAGTGGTGACGACAACAGCTGCTAATAATTGTTAGCGAAAGAAGCTTACCTGTGTCGTCCAGGTGCTGTTCCTCTGACTGTGGGGAGGAATGCCTGCCTCTGAGCTTTCACTCTCGATACGGATAACGTTAGCCTCCGTGTATCTTTGATGAATTTAAATGTCTCACATTGTGCCTAGCCACGCCACATGGCCTGACAGCTTGGCTTGGCCGTGCAGTCCAATGAGAGAAGAGGCAGGGCTCTCGGATCCAGCCAGTGATGGAGTAATTCGTTGAACGCCCGGTAGTCACAGAGAGAGAGAGAGACAAATAATGAGTCAGGGTTACTGGAGTTCAAGCTGATTCTCATCTCGGCCCCCACAGTCTGCCCCACCGCCCCGCCCCACAGGACGAGTTTTTTTCTTAGGGTGGCGACGGCACGGCCCGCCCTACTCTCCCTCTGATTGGCCAGTACTTGTTTAGTTCGTTGGTTGGATTGGTTTATTTAGGCATCAGGGGTTAAGAATGCCAAAATAAGCCAATCAAAAGCCGTTTAAGGCAAAGACGGTGGGCTCCCAGTTAAACAAAACCTACCTGCAAGCCACAGCTGCATCAGACGACGGATGACGTCAAAAGTAGCTTGAAGATGAAACCGAAGTGTGGCGGTTGCCACATGTGACAACATTTAAATCAAATCAAAATGTAACTGTGTAGCTCTCAAGGGCTATTCCTTTGCATAATGTGTCTATTCTAAAACTTTAAAGGTGGATTCTTTTGGAAAGCATCCGACTTGTAATTCTCGGGTGCCATGATGGTATCGAGAAACATTGCACGGAAGCATTGATCAGGTAGAAACTTCATACTTTCCGTCTTGCGATGTGGGCGTCAATCTAGCAAGAGACACCACCGCGTCCATGAAGCTGTATGGGCAAGGCGTTGCGCTGGGCCAACTGCTCACATCAGCATGCTAATGTTAATAACTGTTCTTTATTGAGGGTGTGACTTTTTTTTGTCTTATTTTGCTTTGTTTTGTTTGGGCGCCTTTTTTTACCCTCCAAGAAGCCACAAATATTTTCCTAAAGCCTCTCAGAGTGACTTAGAGTTATAGGATTTTTTAAACTTACCCTTTGATGTTTGAAAAGTTAAAAGATTAGAGCTGAAGATGAAATCCTGGAGTTGAAAGAAGCCTCGTCTTGCATGCTGGTTAGTTCGTGCAAGTGGTTTATTTTTGGCCAAATTTTCAATGCCATAAAGTGATTTTGATGAAATATCACTGCACGTGATGTGTCCATGGACTGTCGGAAATATGAAAATCCAATGATAATTTCTGTTTTGCAGTTTCTGGCTGTGATAAATTATGTAATTTTGGCCACTAAAACATGACTTCTGGAAGGCATGTTTTCTTTGGTATAATAAAAACACAATACAACCATTTAAATTAAGCCCATCACCTGAGCCAAAATGAAAAAATATACATACTTCCCCAGTGTTTATTAAATTGACATGTTAAATGATTGGAATACACTGTTGGGAAAAATGAATAAGCTTTCTGTACAAAATTTGGTGCCATCCCTCCAAGATATTCAATGTTGTACTTATGTAAAGTACTGTAACTTATTACATTTGATTAATTTTTGATGACTTTTCTAACAGATGTTTTAACTGGGCAGTAAAGCTGAAAAATGCTGGAAATACACTCTGCCAAAAGAAGCTGTTACACCAAATTCTGTGACCCATCAGAATCAGTGACCCAGCCCCTTTAGCCTGGCCCTAACCAAACAACAACTTAAAAAAGTAAGCACTTTTTTTAATGGAGTCTGGTACACGGTCAGAGCCTCTGGTTTTACCATGCATTCCAGCACAGCAAAAAGATGCAAAGGAACAGAGGGAATATTAAATTCTTCATATAAGCTTTTACCAAAAGGGGTATATTCAGATATTACCTCTTTGTAATCACCAACATTTTGAGTAATTGTAATTTATTTCATATTGTTTCTCAGTAACTGTAACAGATTAATTTCTTTTGTAATGTAATTAAGTAACTCCCTTACATGTAACTAGTTTCTCCCCAACACTGAGCAAAACCACTGTGAAACCACCAAGTCAATTGGACTATCATCATTCAATATATTGTCAGAAAATGCCCCCTCCTTACCTGTTAAGCTATCTGACGTCTCAGAAATCTGATTTCTCTTTATGGTGACTCTCTCCTCATACAGAAATAATGCTGCCACTCACAATCCACTCTTCGGTGATTCTGCACATGGGCTGTGAAGTATTTATATTAAACGTACCATGAAACAAAGTTCTATGAAACAACATGGGCTATAAATTCATTTGTATTAAACAATACATTTCCATAAAGCAAAGTATTTCTATAGTATTTTAAATTCAAATTTAATACATTATTTCATACATTATTAACAAATTTAATTTGTACACCAATGTGTTTGTCAGTCTATAAATAACATAGGGCTGCTTCTGTGGACCCATCTGTTTCAGTATTGATCACAGGGTCAGTGTGCTCTGTTAAAGCTTATCTGGATATTACAGTAGGTCAGTAGGGAAGAAAAACTTCCCTGAGAACATCATGCTATCTGAAATTATGAACTCCAGTAACCCCAAGAAGTCACATGAGCTCTCCAGGTTACGTCATCATTTGGGACCCGCCTTTTAATCACCCTATCTCCGAACAGCACCCTCCCCTCTCTTGTGATTGGATGAAGCCTCATACCCTGCTTTGTGATTGGCCGACTGACATATCATTCAGAATACTGTGGTGTGCCAGTTGCTTGTGCCGATGATGGTCTTTATGTCCACGTTAAGACATGTTCATGTATATCATCAATCAATCAATCAATTTTATTTATAAAGCCCAATATCACAAATCACAATTTGCCTCACAGGGCTTTACAGCATACGACATCCCTCATGTAATGTTCATGTATGAAGTTATGAAATGTTCATGTATGAACATGACAAAGATTCATAGCCTGCTTTGTGAGGCTGAGAAGAAAAGGCAGAGAAATGTTTCAGAGTTTATTCATATCTATGATGCAGGCCCAAAGTGTTCAATATAATATATGATATGATATGATATGATATAATTGCTGATTGATGTGAACATAAAGCACATATTTATTGTGTGTTCTGCATAATGAGTTACACTGGTTGCTTCAAAAATATTTTTATTAAAGTAAGAACATATTTATAACAGAGCATAAGTCATTACCCAAACATTACAAAATAAAATGGTATCTAATCATGCTGTTTAGCAAATAATTATCTGTTGCTGTTAAGCAACCCATGAAAAAAAGGCGAGTTTACTACAATGTAATAATACATACATATTCCAAAATGTAATGCAGATTATTGAGTTTGGGTGTTATGGAAAAATTGAATTGAATTGAATTTCCCCTCAGGGGGATTAATAAAGTATATAAAAAGAAAGAAGGTCCAATTAAAAACCTTCCTTTGGTTAGACGCTCCCTTTCACACTCCATGCCGCTGTAATGAAGGCTTGCTGTTATGAATTTTTGACGGCAATAATCCTAATGACAGCCCTGTGACCTAATAAGGGTTATTTGACTTGACTTGACAAAGGCTGATCAGGACTCACATAAGCAGTGTACTGACAGTATGTCAGACTTTAACATTGTAGTTTCTGATCTTGCACCTTCTGCCTGTGGATCCAGGTCTGCTGGTCCTGGCAGTGTTTGATGGTGTTTTAGAGGGGTTCCTCTTCTGCTGGACCTCCGTTGGGAACTGGCTATGAATGGGAGCTTTTATACCATGCACTGTCATTTGGACTTCAGCACCACCGGACTCAGCCACCTCCCTCCTGCTCAGCTCAGCCTCGCCTTTAGATGCAGAGAAGAGAGATGCAATTTATAATGGATGTTATAGATAAAAACATTTTCCTTTGCTGGCATATTAAACAAAGTTTAGGTTCCAATTTGTAGGTGTCTGAGTGGGGATTTTTGGGGGAACTATGTCCATCCATCCATCCATCCATCCATCTTTTTTTATCCCCTTATCTGGGGCCAGGTTGCAGGGGCAGCAGGCTGAGCAAAGCCTCAAGTCGTTCCTCTTCCCAGCACTTCACAGAACACCTGTAAGGAGAGGTGCCCAGGAGACATCCTGATCAGATGCCTAAACCACCTAAACTGGCTCTTTTTGATGTAATTGAATTTCTTCGCTTGGGATAGTAACTCCCACCCAACTCAGAGAGGGCAATCCACCATTTTTCAGCACGAGAACCATGGCCTCAGACATGGAGGTGCTGACTCTCAACCCGACTGCTTCACACTCAGCTGCAAACTGCCCCTGTATGTGCCTAAGGTCATGGTGTGATGAAGCAAATAAAACTATTTTATCTGCCATGAGCAGCGATGCAATTCTAAGGTCCCCAAACCGGATCTCTTCCTCCCTCCGGCTGCGCCTTCAGATCCTGTCCATGAATGTCACAAACAGAATCTGTAACAAGGGACAACCCTGGAGGAGGCCAACGTCCACTGAAAACATGTTTGACTTAACACTGAGTATATGGACATAACTCTCACTTTGGATGTACAGGGACCAGATGGCTCATATCAACGACCCTGGTACCCTGTATTCCCACAGTACAGCACATAAGACTTCCTGGGGGATGTGGTTGTAAGCTATCTCCAAGTTCACAAAACTCATGTAGACTGGATGGGCAAACTCCTACAACCCCTCCAGCGGCCCTGCAAGAGTAACGAGCTGGTCCACTGTTCCATGGCCAGGAATAGTTACTGTTGTAAGAAATGGAACAATGAGATTAAATAAAGGTGAAAATTTGCCCGGATGCATCTAAGCCAACATAATTTTATTTGTTAGTAGATTTCAATGAAAGTTGGAGGGAAATTAGGGCACAGGCCATGAACAAGTCATTCATTTTCATGCAGATGTGAATGCAGGGGAGAACCAAGGACTGATTTTAAATACTTTTCTCATTAATTGCTGCACTTGAATAAAAAGTCCAGCACATAAACCCATTGTTGCCTATCCCTTTTGTATTTTGATGCAAATAAAGATACAGTATATAAATGGTAAATGTCTACATTTGTATCCAAAGCATTTTACAAGGATTTTGCTGCTCACTCACCCATTCACACACCAATGGCTACCACACAAGGTGCTGGCCAGACCATCAAGCGCTATCTGAGGTTCAGTATATTGCCAAGGAACACTTCAACATGTGGACAGAAGGAGGTGGAGATCGAACCACCGACACTGTGATGAGTGGACGACCCACTCCTCCTCTTGAACCATAGCCGTCCCTCATCTAGAAACAGATTTAACATTCCTCTTGCTCAGTTTGCACATTGCAACAGTACAGTATCTCCTTGTACATAATGAAATGAGAGGAACATAATCTAATCTTTACTCATACAACTGTTTAACATCTGCAATAAACTCTTTGACCCAGTCAGTGCAGCTATCATAAGTGTACTGAAACCTTGTGCCAGGTTTGTCTGGTTTCTCAATAAGTAGATGGTATGATACTGATCACTGCGTCTGAGCCTGATCTGGCAGCTGCTCTGATTGAGAAACTGTTCCCTGGAGAGCTGATAGAGACTACAGCCACAGATTGGGTAACATCCCTCCCTCCATCTGTCCTTCACTGATCCAACCACTGCAACAGTGTTCATACTGGACAGAGAGGTTGGGTATTCTGATAAAGTGATATTCTGTGGATGTACTGTCCTTAACACAGAAGACTATGCCAAGTCATTCGATGAATTACAGATTGCTGACACACTTATTAAATCCTTGTTCACACAAATATTTATTTATGATTCTGTATATCCAGCCTGAGACATTTGAAATAAGCAGCTGTTTAAAGGTCAACCACCTGTAGGGGATTCCAAACATCCAAACATACATGGAGCAGAAAAAGGCTGAATCCACATGTCCACTCACCTGACTTGTAAACAGAGACCTCGGAGATTCTGGTGATACATGCCATGACATGCTACCATCCAAAAATAAAGCCTGAGAGGTCTCATGGCTGCAAGGAATACAATGCACTATGATACAGGGTCTCAGTTCACATGAATATGAATTCAAACTGTTAACCTTTGATCCATCAAAGGTCTGAGAAGGTCTAAGAATCTGAAGGATTTTTAACCATACTAATTCTGTTAATTTATGCAAGATATATGCAGAATCTGATGCTTTACAGAGATAGTGAACATACTCAGTAGAACATCCCACAGTAGAACATTGTTAATATTATATGCATACCCTCAGCAGAGGATTCTCACATTTTAGGTACTCATTTTTTTCTTTGCTGAATACCAACTGTTGCCTCTCTACCTCTTTTAACCATAATAATCAAATATGACTTAAGGCCTGAAAAAAAGCTTAGACAGCTCATAAATTATATTTGACTTTCCTCCATTACATAAAAAATAGCATATATTGTAATACCTTGCTTATAGACAAAAAGTGGCTCCTACTTGACAAATACAACATGCAAATGTTATAAGCATAAGCCTTTGACATTTTACATTGCATAAATTAAACTAGCAGCTAGCAGAGTTTTTCTCTACATAAAAAGCAGCATAAATCACACACAGGACTTAAATGATATTTTGTGGGGGCTTTATTGTCTTCACAATTTGTTGTTTCTTATCTATGAAATAAATGTAAATAAAAGCTTTGTTTCAACTGAGGGAAATGGTTTTCAGCTTACACAAATAGAGTTCCCCAGGGATGAGTCTTAAAACCCATAAATGAGTTAGCATTTTACCACTCCTGGTTCCCTTGTCTCAAAGTCAATGTTTTTTTGAATGGGTTTTTGGTTAGATGTCTGAAATAAGGTCTGTGGTTAATCCAAGCTGAGGAGACTCGCATTTTGTTTTACACCATAAAAAAGTCAGTAAATAACCCACTGTGAATTTTGAAGCTTTTATATGTCTTAAAAAAGGTGGTTCCTAACAAGTGGCTGAATGAAACTTCATAACCATAAGAATCTTCTTCTTGAACTTGTTCCATTCAGGATTCTTGGAACCTCGGTGCTATCTAATGAACCAGCCTGTGTTTCCACCAGTTTTGATCAGAACCATTTTAATCTAGGATGTGTTATCAACAGAGTACATTGCACAATGGAAGTAAATAGTAGTAGCAAGACAGCAGATTGCACTGGTTACCTGTTAGTTTTTGTTCTGTTATTATACATATTTGTTCTTATGCAAAAACAAACATGGACGAACTATTAATGAGACCACTGCATGCTCTTTTTTCCTATGATTTCTCACTTAACATCCCCACTGTTACCCTCTCTATCCTGTCTTTCCAACCTGTAGAATATAACGCCTACTGATGTCATTACAGTTCAGACTCCAAGTTAAGAGAAACCAATTTTTTTGTTTCCAGCTGAGAACCATTTTTTTGGTATCCCAACCTATTTATTTTTGTTTGAAATGGCCTGAATGGTTCAAGATTAGGTGTAGGAACTGGAAAAGGGCTATGAGAAGTGACTGTTTAGCCCCAAGACATTTGTGGAGAATCATTTTCAACTTTTTGGGGGGGACCCTGGGAGTTTAGGTGAGCACATGGGCTGCTCAAAACATGTCTGGTGTCCTATCGTCCAGTGAGTTTACTAGGATACGATTATAAAATCCTCACCAAAGCCCTAGCTATTCGGCTGGAGTCTGTTATGCCTACAATAATTCATACAGATCAGTCAGGCTTTATCACAGGTAGACAATCATTTGGCAATTTGCAGCAGTTATTTAACATTCTTTATACCTTCAAGACAAACAAGACACCAGAAGCAATTATATCTTTAGATGCCCACAAAGCTTTTGACCGTATAGAATATGAATATCTTTTTTCAGCTATGGAAGCCTTTGGATTTGGCCCTTCATTCATTACCTGGATACAAGTGCTATACTCGGCACCACAGGCAGCTGTCTATACAAACAAAACAATATCCCGATATTTCTCCTTACACAGGGGGACTCGGCAGGGCTGTCCTTTGAGTCCCCTACTCTTCGATATCGCCATAGAGCCCTTAGCCATCTCCCCCAGGACCAACACCAGTATGATAGGCATACGCAGAGGAGGACAGATACATGAACTGGCTTGGTACGCAGATGACCTTATACTCCTTATAGCGGAGCCATGTACTTCTATCCCCAGCATTTTAGATACAATCTCAAACTTTGGTGATATCTCAGGATATAAGATCAATTTTACAAAGAACCGACTCTTCCCAATTAATCAGGCAGCTTTAGACTTAAATTATGATATATACCCTTTTAAGGTTGTTCGTGATTCTTTCACTTATCTTGGTGTGTGTGTGACTCGGGAATACAAGGACTTGTTTAAATTTAACTTTAAAGCAGCTCTAGAGAAAGCTAAACAGGATCTGGCTCGGTGGTCAAATTTACCCCTATCCTTAGCAGATAGGATCAATTCTATTAAAATGGTAATCATGCCTAGATTTTTATATCTCTTCCAAACAGTGCCAGTCTTCATTCCAAAATCTTTTTTTAAGGATTTAGATAGACATATTTCTTCATATGTCTGGAACAAAACAACTAGAAGTGCACAAGAGAGACAGAGGTCTTGCTTTACCCAATTTTCTTTTTTATTATTGGGCTACTAATATCCACAAAATAACCTTTTGGGTGTCTACATTTAGAACGGGGGACGGCCCTATGTGGTCCCTAATGGAAGACCTCTCATGTCAACCGATGTCTCCAGTGGCACTAGTGTGTGCCCCTCTTCCTCTGAGCAAACATTATTTCACAAATAACCCGATTGTAAAAGGCTCACTGAGGATATGGACACAGTTTAGACTTCACTTTCAACACAAAGATGCCATTGCACACATGCCTATTATTTCAAATCCGTTGTTTCCTCCATCAGTCATAGACTCAGCGTTTCGTATATGGTTTCTGACAAATTTGAAATCTGTAGGTGATCTCTTTCATAATAATGTGTTTGCCTCCTTTGAGCATTTAGTGTCAATATACAATATCCCTCGGCTGCATCACTTCAGGTATCTCCAAATCCGAGATTTCATTCACCGGAACTTCTCCTCTTTTCCCCCCCCCCCCCCCACCTTTGGATGGTAGCGATGCCTTGATATTAACCCATATCTAAGAGGACATATTTCTAGACTGTATGACATTATTCAAGACATGGGGAAACTCCCTCTCGACCACCTAAAGGGTTCCTGGGAGGAGGAATTCAGAGGTGAGATATCTGATGAGTCCTGGCACTCTGCAATTACGATGATTCACTCTTCCTCTGTTTGTATTCGCCATGGCCTAATACAGTTTAAAATCTTTCACCGTCTACACTTATGTAGAAATAGACTCACCAAACTGTATCCAAATGTAGACCCAACATGTGTGAGATGCCATCAGGCACCTGCCACACTTTTCCACTTTTTGGTCATGCCCAGCACTGGCATTATTCTGGACCTCCATTTTTAAAACATTCTGTCATATGTGTGGAAAAGTTATTAACCCGGACCCCATTACTGGCATTTTTGGAACTGCCCCAGAAAGAGTAACATTTCCAAATTCTCAGTCAGAGGCTATAGCCTTCTCTTCCCTCCTAGCTCGACGCCTCATCCTTCTCAAGTGGAAGGCGACTACACCTCCATCTCACACACATTGGGTTAAGAGTGTTATGTCCCACCTTAAGCTGGAGAAGTTTAAGTTTACCATATGTGGCTCCGCCTCAGAAATTCTTTAAGATGTGGCAACCATTCCTGGATTACTTTGAGAAAGAATTTCCCTTTAGCAATTTAGGATAGCTCCTGACCCCCCACCCCTACCTGAGACCTTTTAAGTTATTTTATATTTTATGGGACTCATTTTTTAAAATTTATTTATTTATTTATCTTTATTCATTTTTATTATTATTATTGTTATTATTATTATTTTTTTATTTATGTATTTATTTTAATTAATTAATTTTCTCCTTTTACTGTGTGTGTGTGTGTGTGTGTGTGTGTTAATATGTAATACTGTAACAATAATACTGAAGGTCATGTCATTATTGTCTGTATTGTGTTTATTGTGGTCTTTTGTTATGGAAACTCCAAATAAAAACAGTTCAAATAAAACATGTCTGGTGTAAACATCCTGTTTTTCCAGACCTGATAGAAGGACAAATGCTGACTCATGATAAACAAGGTCCAAATAAAACCTATTTAAAGAAGTTAGTGGTCGTCAAGCCCTAGTCATTCTGGTGTGGCTGGTTACCTTCTGAGAAAATCGACAGACTGGCTCCATGGTCCAGTACGTCCCACAGCTCCTTTAAGGACTGCTGTGACTCCTCTGATGACAGATGAGACATGGACAGACCTGAGTTGGGCTGCAGCCCCACGTCCATGGAGCTCTGTGATTGGCTGAGCTTGTTCTCTTTGTTCTTGGAGCTCTTGAGAAAAAAGAGCAGTAGAATAAGTTAATTTTCAGATGTTGCACTTACAGGGTGTTGAAAAATCTGGACTCACGGAGACAGCAAAATGTAAACTGATAAATGAAAAGTACAGTTTCTGTATCTTGTATAATAATAATAATAATAATAATAATAATAATACATTTTATTTAAAAAGCGCTTTTCAAAGTTCTCAAAGTCACTTTACAGAGACAGTTCAAACACATCAAAAAAACAATTTTCAGCAAAGACATCGAAGACAAAGAGGAATAGTAATGGGAGTGAAAAAACAAATAAAGTAAAGTAAATGAATAAAAGTAGCTAAACATTAAAAGCAGAACGGAACAGGTGAGTTTTGAGTAGTGATTTGAATGATGGGTGGTCAGTGCAGTCACGGATGAGTTTTGGGAGGGAATTCCAGAGGGTGGGGGCAGCAACGGAGAAGGCTCTGTCCCCCCAGGTTCTGTGCTTGGTCTTGGGGACGATGAGAAGGTTGGCATTGGAAGAGCGGAGGGTGAGTAGGAGGAGTCTGAAGTGGATGCGTTGTAGAACAGGGAGCCAGTGGAGGTTCTGAAGGACAGGGGTGATGTGGTCGCGGGAGCGGGTGTGAGTGAGGAGGTGGGCGGCAGAGTTTTGGATATATTGGAGTTTATTGAGGAGTTTGGAGGTTGTGCCATAAAGGATGCTATTGCAATAGTCAAGGCGGGATGTAATGAAGGCGTGGATCAGGGTTTCGGCAGCATTGCGAGAGAGTGAGGGGTGGAGGCGAGAAATGTTTTTAAGGTGAAAGAAGGCTTTTTTAGTGACTTTTTTGATGTGTTGGTTGAATGAGAGGTTGCTGTCGAAGATGATACCAAGGTTGCTGCAGTGAGGGGAGTGGGACAGGGTGGAGTTGTTGATGGTGAGGTGGAAGTCTTTGGCTGTTTGGGTGAGGGAATTTGGACCAATTAGGATCATGTCTGATCTGTCACAGTTGAGTTTAAGAAAGTTTGCTTGCATCCAGGATACTTAAACTTTAAAGTACATTATAAATATGTGTATTTTAGAAATATGTATATTTTAGAATGAACTCAGATGCAGTTTTGCAGATATCCATTCAATATGAGGGGTGACTTGGGCAGCTGAGCTGCTATTGCGTATCAATATGAGCAATATTTACTGTGCTGTTACCTCAGGCCTCTCTGTGATTTTGAACCCTTTGCACCAGGGGTTGGCAGCCCCTTTTGTGGCAGAATCTGGGCTGTTTTTTCCAAGTAGAAGTTGTTCAGCAAAAGTGCCAGCCCTCTGCCTCAGTGCATATTGTAGCTCCTGAGGGCACAAAAAAAAAACAGCAAAATGAGTGGACCGTAGTCCCACACTGCTCTCTGGAGGGAGCACAGAGAAGTACACAACACCAGGATGTTTCAGAAAAATAAGATATACTTTATTAATCCCTGAGGGGAAATTCCTTTTTTCCACCCTGTTTTCATATAAACAAAGGCCCAAAATACACACACATGCAAAACAGGACCTATACATGCATTAAATAGAGAGATGTTGGAGTGAGGGGGCTGCCGATGGACAGGCGTCCCAAGCAGTTGGGTGTTCAGTGCTTTGCTGAAGGGCACCTTGGCAGTGCCCAGGAGGCAAACTGGCACCTCTCCAGCTACCAGTCCACACTCCATACTTGGTCCATATGGGGACTTGAACCGGTCACCCTCCAGTTCCCAAGCCAAGTCCCTACGGACTGAACTACTGCTGCCTCTGGGCTCTTTCACACAGTGTTCTCAGTGGCTGTATTTTGTTTATTCGATCTAAGTGTGTTTCCCCATGACACATGGTCACCAGCTACTTTTTTTTTCACCAGCTACTTTTTTTTTCACCCACCTGAGCTCCATCTGGGTCTGGGTTAACATGTTTCTTTGAAAGGCAACATCTCTCCCACAGTAACGACTGCAATTCCATTAAGAATGCTTCCATTTCTGAATGGGACTGTCACAGTTTTGAAAAAGAATAGTTCAACATTTTGTTAAACTTTCACGAGTTTTGGGGCGTCGGTGGCTTGGTGGTAGAGCAGGTGCCCCATGTACAAGGCTGTTGCCGCAGCAGCCGGGGTTCGACTCCAGCCTGTGGCCCTTTGCTGCATGTCACTCCCTCTCTCTCTCCCCCTTTCATACTTGTCTGTTCTATCAAATAAAGGCTTAAAAATGCCCCAAAAAATCTTTAAACTTTCACTAATTTTGCTAAGAGTGAGATGATACATGATTGATAAGAGTCTCATGTCTGGAAGCAGGGGGCCACAGCTAACCTGGCTCTGTCCACCTCCCAATAGTAACACCAAAGCTCACAGATGATCATGTTGCATTGCATTTGTTTTACTCATGCAGAGACCTAAATGTCAAAATCATACACTGCTGTGTTGGGGGAGTCGTGTACTGTAACTATGTCTTTTTTTTTTAAAGGACAAGTAACTTTAATTTTTTACTTAAGTACAGTAGTTGAGTGAATGTACTTAGTTGTATTCCACCAGACATGAATTTTTTTTTTCACTAAGTGATGTAGGCACAAAACAAGTAAAAGACACAACAGGGACAACACTATGTGTAAGACAAGACAGGTGTAGAAAACAATTTACACAAAAGACAACCATAGGCATATTGGCATATTGGTACAATGAATATTTATGGTGTTGAATGCCATTTTTTGTTTGTGTGTGTGTTCATGAAGTTGATGAAGCAGTAAAAAGGGGAAATGAGGAACAGAGGAATAGGCGAAAGGGAAAGAGTCAAGGGTATAAATGTCATGACCTGTCAAATTTCCATCTGTATCAGGCTCCACAACACCCCCTGAGGGTTATCCCTGGCTTATTAACCATAATCCCCATATTATTGACTGGTCCACAGGCAAGGTCATAGCCTGGGGAGCAGACTGCAAGCATCGCTGTTTCCCAGACAGTCTCACACCACCTGCTCCTGCTGCTGCTCCTGCGTCTGTCAGTTCTGGACCCCTTGCTTCAGAAGCTGATTTTCCAGACCTCTCTAAGGTTCCTGGGGTTCCAAGGAGGTTTCAACAAGGCCAAGGCTACCTCTCTTCCTCCTCACTGCCAATATGACTACATTCTGCCGGGTACCTCTCCTCCCATGGGATGCCTGTATTCCCTTTCAGTTCCTGAGATACAGGTGATGAAGGAGTCCATAGATTCGGCCTGGGCTGCAGGAATCATTTGCCCATCCTGGCACCGGATTCTTTTCAGTGGACAAGAAGGACAAGTCTGTCAGGCCTTGCACTGACTACAGAAGCCTGAATGAAATCATCGTAAAAAACAGGTACCCCCTCCCTTTAATCTCTTCTGGTTCTGAACTATTAAAAATTGCTGAAGTGATTACTAAGCTTGATCTACGTAACACTTGTCATCTAATCAGAATAAGGGAGGGGGGTGAGTGGAAGACTGCCTTTAACCCTCCTAGTGGACTTTATGAGTGTCTCGTCATGCCTTTTGGACCTAGTAATGCTCCAGCTGTGTTTAAGGCCCTCATGAATGACTCTTCAGAGGCTCCTGGACAACCAACTGTTTGTAAAGGCAGAGAAATGTGAGTTTCATGTTTCTACAATCTCCTTTCTGGGATTCATCATCTCAGAAGGGGAAGTGAGAATGGCTCCTGAGAAGATTACGGCTGTGGGAAGTGGGCCTTCCTGCCAGAAGGAGGTTCAGCGTTTCCTGGGGTTGCTAATATTTATCGGAAATTCATTAGAAACTTCAGTGCTATTGCTGACCCATTGCATGCTCTAACCTCTTCCCGTTCTCAGTTCTCTTAGAATTCACAGGCCGAGGCAGCCTTCCTGCAGCTGAAGAGGAGCTTCACTACGGCACCTATCCTCATCCTGCCGGACCCCTCCCTGCAGTTTGTCGTGGAGGTTGATGCCTTGGACCTGCCTTGGATCGGTGCCATCCTTTCTCAGGGGTCAGTAAAAGACAACAAGTTACAACCCTCTGATTTTCTCTCCAAGAAACTGTTGTCTGCAGAGAGGAATTATGATGTCGGGTACCATGAGCTTTTGGCCATAAAGGTGGCAATTGAGGAATGGAGACACTGGTTGGAGAGGGCTGAGCAGCCATTCTTGGTTTGGATGCATCATAGAAGCTAATCAGAGATGTCAGATTCCGGACTGGGCACCCCCGAAGTAGCTGTTTGTCCCTCCTGTGCTCCTTTCCCAGGTTTTCCACTGGGCTCACTCTTCTTTTCTCTCCTGCCATCCTGGAGTCTGTAGTACAGTCTTCGTCAGCCGCCAATGGTTTTGGTGGCTTGGAAAGATGTGACAGAGTATGTGGCCGCCACCCCAGTGTTCTCCAGAAATAAGAACTCCCAGAGGCCTAACTCTGGTCTCCTGCACCCACTACCTGTGCCCCAGTGCCCCATGTCAGACATCTCACTTGATTTTGTCATCTTGTCATGCTCATTTGTCATTCCTGTGTTTCCTGTTTATTTTGGTAACCACTGTCTCATCTCATTTCAGATCCCATGTCCTGTCAAGTGTCCCTCCTTTGTGATTCCTTGCCACACCCTAATTTGTGTCACCTGTGTCTCAATGTGTTCACCTGTGTCTCATTGTCTCCCTTGTCTTAGTTTAAGTCCCTGTCTTCCCTTTGTTTGTTGCTAGATCATCTTTACCCTTGAGTAAGAATTCTAGCTTTTCCCTAGCTTTCCCCTCTGTGTGTGTGTTTTAGATGTTTTTTGCTTGTGACCACCTTTTTTGCCTGTTGTTTTTTGGAACTTAAAAGGTGAGACCTTCCCCACTTCGTCTCCATATATGACAAGGGGTGCTGGATCTGCTCTGTCCTTTCAAAAGTCGAACACCATCTCTTTTGTTTTTCCAGTGTTGAGTGCCAGGTTGTTCTTTCTGCACCACTCAGAGAGTCTCTGGACCTCATCCCTGTGCTGACTCATCTGCCCCGGTTATGAGCCCCACAACAAATTTGATGATGGTGTTGGAGGAGTGGGTGTCCAGGGTAAAAAGGAGTGGGCTCAGCAGTGCTGAGTGTGATGGCGGAAGAGCAGTGGGGGCCGATTTTGACAGTTTCTGGTCAGTTTGTGAGAAAGTCCCTTACCCAGGCACAGGTAGATGAGGGGAAATCCAGGCAGTGCAGCTTGACCACCAGGAGGTCAGGAATGATCGCGTTGAATGCTGAGCTGTGGTCTATAAAGAGCATTCTCACATAGGTCCCTGGATGCTCCAGGTGGCTCAGTGCAGTGTGGAGGGCTGCGGTGATGGCATCTTCAGTTGACCTGTTGGCCCTATAGGCAAACTGATGAGGGTTGAAGCTGGGAGTGAGGTGGGCTTTGATGTGTTGTGCCACCAGTTTTTCGAAGCACTTCATAAACAACCGACGTGAGGGCTATGGGTCTGTAGTCATTTAGACTGCTGACAGCCGTCTTTTTGGGGATGGGGATGATGAAAGCAGATTTTAGGCAGGATGGGACGGTGGCTTGTGCTAGGGAGAGGTTGAATAGCCTTGTGGAGAGGGAGCTCAGAGGAGAGAGGGAGGGGCCTGTGATCACGAGAGCCCATGAGACCAGTGCGAGAAGCCCTGCTGCTAGACTTCACACAAAACTTCAACTTTTTCCTACTAAATAACTCCCCTTTTCTGCACTTCACATTCTGAATTATCACAACCACCCTACCTGGAAGACCTTGAGGAATACATCAACGAATGCTTTTACTGATTCTGCATCATGAGCGACACACAGCCAGACCATGACCAGGACTGCAACTCATCCACACCACAGAACAAAAGGCTCAGACCATCCGACTCCATTCATATCTCTCTGGACAAACCATGCTGTGCTGAGGTCAGTGATATCCTCACTTCCATAAACAACAATCCCTCAGGACTAGATGCACGCATAGGACTCATTGAAGTATTACATAAAGAATTCAAACATCTCTGTGAAAGTCTAGAATTCTGCCAGCACCAAACACTGACCATAGAAAACAAACTCCTCCACACCTCTGTCAACACGCTCACTACCCAGCTCAACTCCATCGCAAAACAAAACAAGGAATTGAAAGAAACCATTCTCAATTTACAGTCACGTAGCATGAGGGATAATCTTGTTTTTTCCGGCATCCCAGAACGCACACAGGACGACAACCCCGAACAGCTAATACAGGACTTCATGACCACTAACCTCAAAATCATTGTAAAAAACATCACATTACCTAAAACCCCCACAAACAAACGCCCCTGTCCGATTGTAGCAAAATTCGAACACTTCAAACAAAAACTACTGGTACAACATCACGGCAGACCCTGGCTATATTAACCCCCA